TCATACATTTGATATTAATTTGTTGAGTATATGTTATTACTACCAAAAAAACTTAACATAGTTTCGTTAAGTTGCCAGTAGTCATTACTCATATACTAAGTGACATATAAATCCGAACACCCAGTTTAAATGGTTTTATTTTAATAAAATTTTGTATAAGTACTTAATGAAGCATAATAAGTAAATGATAAAAATTTCAAAATGATTGCACTGCTTTAAAGCCCTTTGACCTTTAATAATGTGTGGATGCACCCTGATGTGCTACGCATTCTCCAACGCGCCTAGGCATGCTTCTGATCAGGTGGTCAATGTCCACCTGTGGTATCTCATTCCAGGCAACCACCAACTCCTCTCGAAGTGCTTCTAGAGTCTGAGGAGGACGTTGCAAATTGAGCAATCTCCTACCCATCATATCCCACACGTGCTCAAGTGGGGATACGTCGGGAGATCTTGGTGGCCATGGTAACAATGTGACATCATTATGTTGAAAGAAGTCTATTGTGACTCTTGCAACATGTGGTCGGGTATTATCTTGTTGGAAAGTTGGATCTGCCAGGGTGTCAAGATAGGGTAAAAGATGGGGTTCTAGAACTTCGTGGATATAACGCTGCGCGTTCATGCTACCTCTGATGAAGATTAAAGGTGACCTGGAACCATAAGCTATAGCACCCCAAACCATAACTCCAACAGTGTGATGAACATGTCTTTCAACAAAAAAACTGTGGATTCCTCCTCGCCTTCTAACCCTGGCACGACCATCGTGCATGCCTAAACAAAATCGAGACTCGTCACTAAAGACAATACTGTTGCATTTCTGATCCCAGAGTGACCGTTGTCTGCACCACTCAAGGCGATTACGTCGGTGTTCTCGAGTTAAAGGGAGGACCCAGTGTGGCCGGTATGAAAACAAGCCAAAACTTCTCATTCGTCGGTAAACACTTCGCATGCCAATAGGTCTTCCATGTTCTGCAAACCATTCATTTGCAATGGACCTGGTAGTGGAGAAACGGTCCCTTCCGGCCAATAATCTTAGGCGGCGATCTTCACGGTCTGTTGTTCTACGGCGGCGTCCAGTGCGCCTTGCTCTTTGCGTACGGCCTTCTCGAAGCCATGCCTGACAACACCTAACCACAGTGTCTACACTTCTTTGCACTCTAACTGCAATTGCCCGAAAAGAAAGTCCAGCTTCCCGAAGTCCCACTATACGGCCCCTATCAAACTCACTAAGTTGACGAAATCGTACAGGTCTCCGTACTCTAGGCATCGTAACCGATCGTAAAGGATGTCAAGAACCAAAATCCGCCAACGTTGATTCTTTACTGCGGCTGAAATATTCATTTTTAGAGCGTTAGTGAATTAAAAAAAAGCAGTATAAAAACCGGAATGTCCAACTGATAAGGCTGAAAATTTGTTCACTTGTTATTTACAGTAAGATAAATACATTCACCAACTTTTATTAAAATAAAACCATTTAAACTGGGTGTTCGGATTTATATGTCACTTAGTATAACTGCTGATTTTAAAAACTCTTATTCAATTCTTGACCATAAAAGTGTTATCAGTTGTGTGTGTGTGTTCAGCCGTTTGAGGTTGTGAATTTTTAAATTAGTGTAGAGTATAACAGGTCATTCGTTTTGCATCAGGGTGAAGGAGGCAAAAGTGCAATATTCAAAGTAATGCATGCAATTGTTACTTGGACATTTTTTATTCATTGGAAAGTATCAAACAAATCACTTGCAACAAGTGAAATTTTAGGGAAACCGGATTCAACAAGTGTTGTAGTATCCAGTAGTCAGCGCGTCAAAGGTTGGCATACATAGCAAAATCCTTCGACGACAAAATGTTTGTTTGATCGCTTGTTAGCGTGTCTAAACAGGTTTAGGCTTATATGCTGAATGAAGGGAGTATTATCATTATCTATAACTGATACAAATGAAATAAAATACGTCCATTTTTTCATCTTAAACTTTTGTTGAAACTTGGAAATTATGCATGAAAAATAATATCTTGATTACATTTGCCATCACTTGGTAGGTTTCGGGAGGAATACAGTGAAAGCTCCAATAAGCGGACACTCACGGTTCCGTAACTTTTGTCCGCTTATGGGAGGTGTCCGTTTAAAAGAGAGTATGTAAGTATAGAGTATAAATAACGGGGTATATAATCATGAGGAAATGAGGTATTATAATCATGAGAAAAATGAAACAGAAACTCGCCACATTTATAAAGTATGTATTTATGCTATATATCTATATAATATATGTACATATACGCATACAAAAACATAAATGCTTCAATACATGGTACGAGAATTTAAAAAAAACATTATTCTTTAGCTTGTTGAAAAAAGTTTAAAATGTTTGTCTGACGAAATTTCACCATCTTTTGCTGAAGGAGACAATTTTCCTAATAACTTTCTAAATTTTTCAAATGTTGAAATGCAGTGAAATCATCTTTAGCAAATTTTTTCAATATAGAAATATGATTTAGAGCTTCCCCATATGAATTTATCGTTTTTGAACCGCTTAGTGAGTCCACCAGTTCCACTTCTTCTTCTGAGTCGTTTGGACTACCATATTCAAGTTGGCCTGGGCTTTCTACATCCAAATTCGAAAAGTTGCCAATGGCATTTTCTTCTGTTGTTATGTTATTGTCTATGGCCAGGAAATCATCTACTTTCTGGGGATCTGCTACTCCTAAATGTTTGGCATGTCGCAGTAACTGAGCAAGTGTCGCTAAGGGCAGATCGTCTTCAGCATCGCAATAATTTTTCTCAGCAAATTCTGAGCTACATTCACTTTTTCTGAATCCAGCTTTGCCAAAACAGTTTTCAATTGTAGAGGAATTTACTTTATTCCATGCTGTTTTTATAAAATACAAAGCTTCTAACACATTGATAGACTTTGTAAGCTCAGATAAGCTTTGACCATCGTCAATTTTTGTTAAAATATGTTTTAAAATCAAGTGCCGATAATAAAATTTAAAGTTCTGTATGACACCTTGATCCATGGGCTGACAAACAGAAGTTGTGTTTGGCGGTAAAAATATAATTTTCACATTTTTCATTTTCATATCACGAGGATGAGAGCATGCATTGTCTAAAAATAAAAGAACTTGCCTTTTTTGGATTCTCATTTTCCGGTCGAATTCGACTAACCACTCAGACATGATTTCTCGGGTCATCCATGCCTTTTTGTTGGATTTCCAAGTCGCTGGTAGATCCTTAATAGCAACGTTTTTTAAAGCACGGGGACGAGCCGCTTTCCCGTTCACAATCAAATCGCATTTTTCACCGGCCATATTTGCACAGAATAAAATGGTTAGTCTATCTTTAGACAACTTTCCACCCACACATGTTTCTCCTTTAAAGGACAGAGTTTTGTCGGGCAATGCGCGAAAAAAAAGTCCACTCTCATCTGCGTTGTACACATCTTCTGGTTTGTAGCCAAGCAACATGGACGGAAGTTTCTCCAAAAATTGTGACACATCAACTTGATCTACTGCAGCAGCTTCGCCAGATATGCATTTGAAACTCACACTATGTCTCTTGCGCCACTTTTGCAGCCACCCGTCGGACGCACTGAAATTATTATTTAGCTTTCATTTTCACTAACGGCCCTGAGATTGGAATGTTCTGACTTCTAGCTTTCACAAACCACTCAAAACATGATTTGTCTATAGCAAAACCTTCCTTTTTTAAAAAATCCTTCTTTTGATTTATATTAGTTCCTGATTGCCATTTACTCCTGATATCTTCCTTATTTTTGGCAATTTCAGCTGCTTGCGTTTTCCCAATATTAAACCTCTTTGCCAAATGACGAACTGAAACACTTTCTCTGTCTAATACGTTAACAACTTCCATCTTTTCCTTTAACGAGAGCATCCTTTTTTTTGGTGCCATTTTACAGTTACAATAATAAAATACGTAACTCAATCAACTACGAATTTGCCTGAACTGAAGACAAGCCACAAGATTACATACAGGCTACCCAACGAAATGCGTAAATGGGGAATCACCTAATATAAATCGGGGAATTACCGAATTTTATGTATGTAGATATGTGCATTGCAATAAGCGGAACTAAAAAATCGTCCGGGTATTAGAGTTTCGCGTCCGCTTATGGGAGATTTTTTGATCATATACAGGAAAATCTAGTGTCCGCGTCCGTTTATAAGAGCGTCCGTTTATCGGAATGCATTTAACATTGAAAATTGATGGCTGAAATTCGGTTCCAGGAACTTTGTCCGGTTAAAAGAGATGTCCGCTTATAGGAGCTGTCCGCAAGGAGACCTTTCACTGTATTTCCAATCGCTTCCTTAATATTGTTCTTAAGCTACTCTGCAGTATTTGGTTTGTTGGTATATACCCTATTTTTCAAAAGTCAGGAGCCGTTAAATCCGGTGGCCTTGGTGGCCAGTTGTCATCACCAAATCGAGATATTAAACGTTCCCGAAATATTGTTCGCAAAATATTCTTTGTTTCGCTAGCTGTGTGACAAGTTGCTCCGCCCTGTGACAGTAAGATAATTACCTGCAGCGTCTTCAAAGAAGTAACGTCCAATGACACCTCCATACCAAACACCGCATCAAACTGTGACTCGACGAGGATGTAGTGGTCGTTGATGGATGACACGAGGGTTCTCTAAAAAATCGTTATTTTGGCTATTAAGCTGGAATATTGCATGTATTGTCGGCGACTTTCATGGTGACTAGGCTGTAGTTATTGGGTTACTTGAATTTTGTATAGCCGCAAATGCAAGCTTCTTTTTAAAATAGTGCATAATAACTTGCGACGAATACGCAGTTCATGAGAACGATGCCTTGTAGAAGTCTCAGGGTGCTCCACTACAGTTTCACGATCTGTCTCGATACTGAAATGCGTGCATCAAGAATGGCGCACAATTTAAATTAGTCAGTTATATATTGGCCACCCTGTATATCCAAACTGCTACGGTTAGCTGCTTAATATTTTATTACTAATAATGATTCTATTGTTTCAGCCGTGGTAGTATCACTTTACGAAGATCCAATTCAACCTCAGCAAGCTGCATCTGTGGTAGAAAAGTTAGGTGACTACTTAATCACCTGCGGATACTAGAGGTTAGTTCTACATTATAGATATAGATTTCTTCTTCAAAGCATTCTTACCTATCAAAATAATGATCTTTTCAATACATTTCGCTTTACCAATGGAAGTTGGATGGTTTTGAAACAGTAAAACCAAATAAGATTTTGAAAATTGCTAATAACCCGATTTATTGCTCTATAATCTTAGTTTTAATGCTCTCATTGTAAAAACAACTGATTCTGATTGGAAACTCGGTAAAGCGTTATAACTTTTATAAGAACAGAATTTATTGGTAAAACCTGTACCTTATCTCCTAGCAGCTTAGCTTTTATGGTCCTACGCCCTTAGAGTATAGGATTTAGCTGATATCAAAAGAGTACTGTCACTCTGAAATTAAAATTTTCCATAATCAAAATTCCCTACGCCTTAGCCCATTGTCGTTCATGTTTTGTAAATTCGTATTCAGTAGGTTGCTAATTACGTGTATTATCCAAAGATTTTGTTGAAAAGAGTAACGCGCCTCTTCCTACTTCCATTCATACCAATATTTGTTTTTATTTAATTAATTCACCAGCAAATGTTACTAGCTCTCTGCATCCTGTATGCGGACGTTTCGTCAACAATAAATTACTTCCTTTTATAAAATCGCTCAACTGGGAAACTAAATAATTCGTTTTTAGTCGCCAGGATTTTATGTGTCTTTAGATTAGATTTTCTCTTTGTTTCAGATAGTGCGTGCCGCTGAAAGCAGCCAGTGCCTCGCGGCGAAAAATATTATTAAAGTTGTATTTTTTTCAAATAATAACAGCGAAACAGGCAATGTGTATACCGAGTGCATCCAACATTAAGTATATAATTTTTTTAAACTGCATATAGGAATATAATTTTTTTCATTAATTCAGTTTTTGTTTTTCTGCGTTGTGTTCAACATTGAATAATCATCTACCGAGTGCATTAAGGTTATGTCACGCTATTTTAGGTGAATTAACCTCAATCGGTGGCATTTCAAGCAAATTTGCGCGCCAAAATTCGTGATGTAACCAAATAAACTGCTATTTTTTTTTACTGTGGTCTCAATCTTCATTGTTTTTAAGGTTATAGGCTTAGTAGTATAACTTAGGTTATACATACGTTTTTTGAAAAGACATCGTGATTTTTTTCAAAGAGCTTGTTTTTTTTTAAATTGTCGATTCGAATAGAGGCATTTCATGTTTAGCTTTTTTCATACCATTGCTATATCTATTTAACAACAAAGACGTTTGATACTGAAAACTTACAGTTTAGGATTTTTTAATAAAAAATCTAGTCCCGCAGTTTATATTTTTTCCTACCTTGTTCCCGAGTTGCCCTTGTTGTGTTTCGAAAATGTAAGGTTACAAAAGCACAAACACCTTTAGTAGGTCCAGGGATCCGCTTTTTATATTTCGAAATTTGATTTTAATACGCTTCAATATGGATAATGCTATATTAAGAACGATTGGTGTCGAGTCGATTATAGACCTTCATGTAATGAAATTACCCTCAGCTGCTGTAGTCTGTCAACAAAAAATTAAGTACGTTTTGAAAATGTTCTGCATTGCCTTTCAAATATTATAGTTAATATATTTTGGAAATACACTTTTTGTTGATATATTTATTTTGGTTAGTGCATGAATGGTTTCAATTAAGGTTTCAAAAATTGTTCTTATTTTTTCCTTCAGTGATAGGCTACAGTATCATTATTACACCCAGTGTATGTCATTAATTTCAAATTCTGACTTAGTTTTGTCAGTGTCTATGTAAATTATCATATAATATTGGTAGACTGTATCACACCAATCAAATATTCGTCGGAGGCAATTTAAGTTACTGGTAGATTTCAAACTAATCTACAGTTACTTCAAATGTCCCTTTATGCTATAACAATATGTATAATGCAAAAATGCTCATGGTTCTTGTCTTTGTATTGAGACAAAGTTTTTACCATTTAATTTGAAAATCGAAAAGTAGCTTGTAAAGTTTTTCTGATATAATTGCAAGGGATATTATTGTGTATCTGAAAGGAAATCGTAATAAATTTGTATTATATAAAAAGTTATGTTTTATTTATGCATTAGCTTGCCCTCCCCTAGATAACTGAATTCCAGGAGATTGAGAGCGAACGTTTTTCTTCTGGTTTTGTTCCTGTCCCAGCAATTTATTTTCTAGGAGCTTTTCTGATTTTCTGATCCTTGTGCATTGCCACAAGACAGTGTTTAAATGAAATGTTTCGCAGCACGCATTTATTAGGTAAAGCAGCTCGAACGGGAGTTGTCGAGGACGGAACTTTGAACTTAATTTCACCAGACTATACAGGGTGGCCCATCCATGTGTGGACGGAAAATTACTCATAAACAAATACATTCTGGAAAAGTCTATTTAATAATGGCAGGGTGTCCCAATTTCAACCTACACATCAAAGTTTGTGACTTTTCAAATAGAATGCCTCAAATTTTATTGCATATTTTGATAAACCAATATATCCAATATTGATATAACATATTATGGGGTTTTGGTAATTAGCTACTGAGATATAAGGTGTTTTGTCTAGAAAAAAAAAACCACGGCGGCAACTCCTCAGTCCGCCATTTTGAAATTTGGAGTGCTGAATTTTGTACCAAAAAAAACTTGGTCACCTCAGCTTTTATCTTATTTGTTACTTTTTCGAATTTTAATTTTTGCTCGTACAGGGTGGTCAAAAACGCAAATTGTAGTTTTTCTCAAAAATTTCAAATGCATTACCCTGTATATTTTTTGCAAGTTTGGATTCAATTTTTTATAAGCTTTTTTTTGATACTAGACACATAAGGGTTTTTATGGCTATTTTTTCGGTTATTAGCACGTCTTTTATGGAACGGCTTAATTCCCTAAAATATCGCATCATCCTTGGCAACAAATAAATTGTTGATTAGTTACAAACTGTCAAAATTAGCTTTGTGAGCATTATAATAAAAACGTGTTTGAAAATAAATTTTTCTAAAGAAGAAATGGTGAATATGGTGTTCGTTTTTGACGAAGCCCAGTGAAATAGTTTCCTAGCATCTCGCCTTATATTTTGGCATGCTAGATCACCAGATATGACACCGATAGACTTCTTTCTATGGGGCTACGTTAAACAAGAGGTTTATAGATATCCACCATCTACCCCGGAAAATATGAAGGGATGGATTAAGGATGCTTTTCTGAACATAAGGGAACACATGCTGAGGGTCATTTATCCAAAGACTACGGCTGTGTATTCAACATGGTGGAAATATTTTCGAGCAGTTTTTGTAGATTAGGTCTTGAGTAGTGATCGTTGTTTATGTTGTTCTTATAGTTGTCTCTCTATTACACTTGAAGCTGAATACTGTTCTGATTGTTATTAGTTTTTACGTCAAATCTGTACTCTTAGTGGCAATATGGAACTTGCCCACTGTTTGTCTTTTGTTTCCATGGATGATGTGATTTTTTTCCTTAATTTTGGTATGTTCTATTCAAAACTTAATAACTCAAAATCTAGTGATTTTATCTGAATCAAACCTTATACCAAACAAAAGCTTATAAAAAAGTGAATCCAAACTATCACAAATATACAAGGTGATGCATTTGAAATTTTTGAGAAAAAGTACAATTCGCGTTTTTAACCACCGTGTATGAGCAAAAATGAAAATTCGAAAAAGTAACAGATAAGATAAAAGCTGAGGTGTGTAAGTTTTTTTTGATACAAAAAGGTTGACGAAGTGGACGGTTTTTCTAGACAAAACACCTTACATCTCAGTAGCTAATTACCAAAACCCCATAGTATGTTATATCAAACTTCTTATTTTGAATTGGTTTATCCAAAAATGTGCTCTCAAATGTCATGTATAATATGCCATAAATAGATTTTCCCAAAAAGTATTTGTTTATGAGTAATATTCCGTCCACACGTGGATGGGCCACCCTATATATATATATATATATATATATATATATCCGTTAATCCATCCGACGACATCAACTACTTCCGTTTTTGCCAAAGAAACCTGTGATGCTAATTTGGCCAGACTATATTATTTAATACTATATATCACTATATACAGGATGTCCCAGAAATAACACGCTAGAGTGACGCGGGAGGTAGATTGGCTTCAGATCAATCAGACAAAATCAACATGACCTTAGTAAAAGTTTTCTAGTTTTCGAGATATTGCCACTTTGTTTTTTCGAAAAATCACTACTTTTTGCTCCTTATAGCTATTAAGAACTTTTAACTTGTTTTTTCATGGGCTACCATTAATAGTTAATACATTAATACATTTTGCGTCCATGTGAAGACCTTTACTAAAGTTTGACTACTGTGAAAAAATTGTACCAGACTGAATCGGCAAATGATCTTAAAAAGCAGCTCTTTTAAAAATAGTATAACATCTGGTTCTTTCTACTAAAAATTGAATAATTCCAAGTTTTGTCATTGAAGTCGCAATACTTGCGAAATACTACAAATAAAAAAATAAGTGCAGCCGTTTTTTGTATCCAAATCACTAAGTAATGAAACGACCTAAACCATGTCATTGAGTATCTCGCTCTCACATTCATTGTTCGATCGGTAGCATTATGTCACTTCGAGGAACATAATTTAGTACTGCTTCTTGTGTTAGTGATACAAACGTGTTATTTAGATCTTTCGCTGTTTAGGTTGTTTCATTCCTTAGTGATTTGAACATTAAAACAAAATGTATGCATTTTTTTTTCAGCATACCTTGCTAGTTTTTAATGAAATGAATACTCGGTTGTCTCAACCAACTATTAATGGTAGCCCAGGAAAAAGCTCATAAGTTAAAACTTCGTGATAGCCATAACAGGCAAAAAAGTAGTGATTTTTCGAAAAAACCTTAAAGTGGCAATATATCGAAAACTATAAAACTTACTAAAGTCATGTTGATTTTATCTAATTGATCTGAAGCTACTCTACCTCCCGTGTCACTCTGGCGTGTTATTTCTGGGACACACTGTATATCCCGTTGGTGATATTTGCATAATAAAATTGCGAAGTTATTTTCCCCATGCTCATGACAAGTCTCGGCGTCTGCAAATGTTATAGTCTGGTAAAATTAGCAAGTTTATTTGGCAATTACCTCGAACTGGAGTGGTCGTTGTCGGATGTATTAAAGGGTAGTTTGGGGAAATTAAATTCTCAAGTTTATTAGTCAAACAGCTCGAATGGAGTAGCCGATGCTTTCGGGAGGATTATTGAAGACAAACAGGTAGACGACGAGAGTCTGGTTCCGGATCTTTTCCCCGTAACTAATAGGTATGTAGTGGTAGCAGGAGTTCAAAATAATGAGACAAGAATTAATTGTTAACTTAGTATATTAAACCATAAAACACACGGACAAGAATTATGTTCAATATAAATTAAATCAATATACAATTATACAATACTCCAAAGCAAAACAAAATATGTTGATATGAATGCCAAAAATTATCTGCAGGTTTGGACTTGCAATTTAATTCAGCAACAATATTTTATTCAACATAATGCGATATTTTATTGTTCTTGCCGAGGGAAAATCGATACTTTTATCGAAAGAAATATAATGAGATTTTAAAAACATTAGAGCAACGTCATAATTTCTGAAATATAATTATAGTCAAGCGTCATAATGGAAGACAATCCCATACTGCATCCGTACGCCACTGTACCCTGCATTCTGTTGTGGCTTACGGTGCGTAATGGCACCATTTTCCTTTTTGGTACTTTGTATTATGAATTAAAAACTTGCCAGAATTCATACAAATATCTCTTGACATTCATAAAGAAGTAAGAAAATTAGTTGGAAATACCAATACAAGTGTTCTAAGAATTTGTTACATGTAATAAATTAATATCTACATCTACAGGGTGCTTTCATCTAGCCACAAGTACCAAAATAAATATAAATGGAGGTCGGCAGAAATTCATATATTAGCAATTCACCCTGTATATTGAGGATTTCAAGTGCCACAATTTAATATAATTGTTGAAAATTCATTCATCAGCGTTACAAATGTAATAATGTTGGTTAGGAATATGAAATTATATTGTTATATAAAATATACACAAAAATGATCTATATATAATATATACGTAAGGATAGTCTATTGTTGCTCTAAAGAGTAGTGCCTAGACCGCTTCCAGAAATTCTTGAAAAACCCTTTTTTCTTTTGAACTTCCTCACCTGTAAAAACAGAAATATCTGTTAAATTCAAGCTCCCAAAATAGTCAAGATCCAAAAATAGTAACGCGTATCAGCGATTGTTGTGGACAATGTAGTTCACAAATAACGCAAATATACTAAGTGACATATAAATCCGAACACCTAGTTTAAATGGTTTTATTTTAATAAAAGTTGGTGAATGTATTTATCTTACTGTAAATAACAAGTGAAAAAATTTTCAGCCTTATCAGTTGGACATTTTTATACTGCTTTTTTTTAATTCACTAACGCTCTAAAAATGAATATTTCAGCCGCAGTAAAGAATCAACGTTGGCGGATTTTGGTTCTTGACATCCTTTACGATCGGTTACGATGCCTAGAGTACGGAGACCTGTACGATTTCGTCAACTTAGTGAGTTTGATAGGGGCCGTATAGTGGGACTTCGGGAAGCTGGACTTTCTTTTCGGGCAATTGCAGTTAGAGTGCAAAGAAGTGTAGACACTGTGGTTAGGTGTTGTCAGGCATGGCTTCGAGAAGGCCGTACGCAAAGAGCAAGGGGCACTGGACGCCGCCCTAGAACAATAGACCGTGAAGATCGCCGCCTAAGATTATTGGCCTTAAGGGACCATTTCTCCACTACCAGGTCCATTGCAAATGAATGGTTTGCAGAACACGGAAGACCTATTGGCATGCGAAGTGTTTACCGACGATTGAGAAGTTTTGGCTTGTTTTCATACCGGTCACACTGGGTCCTCCCTTTAACTCGAGAACACCGACGTAATCGCCTTGAGTGGTGCAGACAACGGTCACTCTGGGATCAGGAATGGAACAGTATTGTCTTTAGTGACGAGTCTCGATTTTGGTTAGGCATGCACGATGGTCATGCCAGGGTTAGAAGGCGACATGGTGAAAGGAGGAACCCACAGTTTTTTGTTGAAAGACATGTTCATCACACTGTTGGAGTTATGGTTTGGGGTGCTATAGCTTATGGTTCCAGGTCACCTTTACTCTTCATCAGAGGTAACATGAACGCGCAGCGTTATATCCACGAAGTTCTAGAACCCCATCTTTTACCCTATCTTGACACCCTGGCAGATCCAACTTTCCAACAAGATAATGCCCGACCACATGTTGCAAGAGTCACAATAGACTTCTTTCAACATAATGATGTCACATTGTTACTATGGCCACCAAGATCTCCCGACTTATCCCCAATTGAGCAGGTGTGGGATATGATGGGTAGGAGATTGCTCAATTTGCAACGTCCTCCTCAGACTCTAGAAGCACTTCGAGAGGAGTTGGTGGTTGCCTGGAATGAGATACCACAGGAGGACATTGACCACGTGATCAGAAGCATGCCTAGGCGCGTTGGAGAATGCGTAGCACATCAGGGTGCATCCACACATTATTAAAGGTCAAAGGGCTTTAAAGCAGTGCAATCATTTTGAAATTTTTATCATTTACTTATTATGCTTCATTAAGTACTTATACAAAATTTTATTAAAATAAAACCATTTAAACTGGGTGTTCGGATTTATATGTCACTTAGTATACAGTGAAACTTGGTTATCGTGCATCCTTTATAGGACAATCAGAAAACAAGAGTACAAACCCAACTTGTTAGGGAGTTCGTACAAAAAGGTCGTCTGTATTTGAAAGCTACATAATTTCGTCTATGGCGTCGTGTTTACCAGCAGGGAATGCTGTGTAGCACTACTGAAGCGAAGATGTGGTTTCATTTATTGGCAAGCGAAAAAATGCAAAAGAACGAAACGGTAAGTACTGCAGAAACCTGTTGGTATCGTCTGAGAAATTGTTCTCGCTGTCATGCTCTTCTGCTGAGTTGTTGAAGATTCGCAAGAGGCAATACCAAATGACACCTTCAATCTCCATTATCGTCGCATGCCCTTTATTTCAACAACCTCTCTGGAGAAGTATTCTTAATACTTTTCTGTGGGAAAGTTCACTTTTTGATTTAAGAAAAAAAACAGACTTAATGAAAAGAAAATATTTATCAATATATTTGTAAATTCGGTGGGTTTTATTTCTTAAATATCATTCAGTAAAAATGTGTGCCATCCCTTCCAATATACTCTTCTAATCGCGCGCGCAAATTCTGAAACACTCTCTTGCAGACTTCCGAAATGTTGTTGTTTATTTCTTGTCGAATGTTGTCTTTAAGCTCCTCCAGTGTTCGTAGATTATTGGAATACACTTTTGATATAAAGGGTGTAAACGTTATGGTAGTCATTATTGAAATGGGTAATAGAGGGGGGGGGGTCAAAACAGGTGATATGACACATGGTCCAAAAGTCAATAGATTTTTGTCTGAATGGCTTTATAGTTTACAACTTTAAGTGCTTTATATCGCCACAATCTTACTAATTTTTATAATCTAATCTAAAACGTTTTTAAATTGGGTAATTAACAAATAAATAGCATTTTTCTAAGTTAAGCCAAAATTTGTAGTCAGTAAGTAAGTTTCATTAAATTAAATATTTAAAACACACATGAAAACAGTGCGTCGGTCTTTCATCACTCTTATCGAACCGGCAATCGATCGCAAACGGTAACAGTGGTTAGTTATCGGTTTGCATAGATAAATTACTTTATCGTTTTGTCGACCAGATCATCGGGCGTATTGTTTTGTTTTTGTTCGCGTACGTCATCGTGTTTATTTACAATGTTCTCGAATAAAGAGTTCGCCGACATGTTGTTAGTTTACGGTGCGGTCAGGTTATTGGCCCTTTCGAGTTACCCCCAAAGTTGTCAGGAGAAGGATACCTTAGCTTTCTAGCCAATAACCTACCAGTACTTTTGGAACAGACCTCAGACAACATGCCATTTGTGGTTTATTCATGACGGGGCACCACCACACATTTTTAGAGGCGTCATTCAGTATTTGAATGAACATTATCCAAATCGCTGGATCGGTCGAAATGCTCCTGATCCTCGAAAATGGCCAGCAAGATCTCCTGACCTCAATCCGATGGATTTCTGGTATTGGGGAGAACTTAAAGAGATGGTTTATGGGGCTGGTGCAATAACAACTAAAGCACAAGTTCGCGAAAAACATTTTAATGCGGCTGAAATAATAAATGGACAACTTCGAGGACCTAGAGTAAGAAGAACTGGGTTCGTCGTAATGAAGCTTGTGTGGAAAGTGGAGGACGACATGTTGAACACCTTCTTTCAATACAAAAAAACTGCAGTGTAAGTTGTAAAAATAAAAACAACGTATGTATCAAAAATGTGTTTCCTATTTATAAGAGGATTTTTTTTAATACGTTCAATAAACTTTCACACAACAAATGAACCGCCGAGACAGTTTGTGGTAAGTCCGTTTTTTTAATTGGTTGCATTTTACGAGTACATTATCAAATAATGAAATAATACCTAGAAGCCAAAGTAACAAACTCCATCTTTATTTACACTGCGTTCCGTCGTAATTTGCGTCTGCCATTGCGGCGATGTCAGATTTTATTTTATTGTCGGAAAAGTCATAACGTATATGCAACAAAGTATGCAATTGCATGGTTGGAAGTACGTGAGTCAATGACATTTGTATGTTGATTGTGTAGTTTGACAGTTGACACTTCAAGCTTCATTTGCACCAAAAAATTAAGTGATTTATTTGAGTCTCGTCGATTTTAGAGGACGTTGAAGATGGGCGACCAAACTGTGCATTTTCGTCACATTTTGCTGTATTACTTCCGCAAAGGCAAGAACGCAAGACAAGCGTGTGAAAAGTTGAGAAAGGTTTATGGAGAACATGCACTACAAGAACGGCAATGCCAGAGATGGGGATTTTGATATCCATGACGCACCTCGATCAGGGCGGCCTACTGAGTTGGATAGTGACGAATTAAAGGCATTGCTAGGAGCAAACCCACATTACACCACACGGGAAATTGCAGAAACCTTAAAAATCCATCATTCAACCGTTCACGACCATTTGAAGAAACTGGGATACGTAAGCAAACTCGATCGTTGGGTACCACACGAACTGAGAGAGGTTCATTTGACGGCGCGTGTAGACATCTGCGATATGCTCCTTAAACGTGAGGAAAACGATCCTTTCTTAAAGCGCTTGATAACGGGAGATGAAAAGTGGATTGTTTACAACAATGTGGTTCGCAAACGGTCTTGGTCCCGAAGTGTAGATATGCGTAACACGATCGCGAAAGCAGAGAGTCATCAGGAAAAGGTGATGCTCTCTGTTTGGTGGGATTTTAAAGGGATCGTGTTTTTCGAACTCCTGCCAAAGAACCAAACCATCGATACAACTGTGTATTGACGGCAATTGGACAGTTTGCAACAATCCATCATGCAAAAACGTCCGGAGCTCATTAATCGCAAAGGAGTTGTGTTCCACCATGACAACGCGAGACCGCACACAAGTTTGCTCACTCGTCAAAAGTTATTGGAGTTAGGATGGGATGTGTTACCACATCCAGCATACTCGCCTGATCTTGCCCCATCTGATTTTCATTTGTTTCGGTCGCTTCAAAATTCCTTGCGAGAAATACGCTTTACTTCAGATGAAGCTGTACATCAGCACCTTGTTCAATTTTTTGCCGGTAAAGATAAATCCTTCTACGAGCGAGGAATTATGAAGCTGCCTGAAAGATGGCGAAAGGTCATCGATCAAAATGGGCAATACATTATTGATTGAAGTTTGTGCTGTATATGAATAAAATGGCCTTAAAATAAACAAAAAAAAGCGACATGACTTTTCCGAAAACCCAATACTTTAAAGTCGCTTTTAAAAAGATGCCGTTTTTACCCCCATGTTATATGAAACTTTTAACCCCATATATCACCCATTTAAATAATGACTATCATAACGTTTACACCCTGTATACTGATGTGTGGTCATTGGAAAATCCTCACGTAGTCCGTCGGTTTCATTTTCAACAAACATTTTCCTTGAACATTCGGGTTAGCATGGTAAATGGTATGCTCATTGGGCATTTTACTTTCCCGAATCGGCTGGACGGCTTACAATACGTAGACTATC